CAGGCGTCCCACATATGAAGTAGAGGAAGATGGGCAGGGATGTTAGCCCAGGGCCAATCCTCCTCAGCAAAAAGAGGAAGATTGGCAACAGATATTAGGTCAGGGCTAATCTTCCTCACCAAAAAAAAACCTATGGTCTTTTCCTGCCCAATTTGAGACATTTCAAAGAACTGGAAAATCATGATGCCTCTTTGAAACAAGGTCAAAATATAAACACAGTCATTTGTCTAATACTCAGTATGAAAAATAATTATCACGCAACATTTCAACGGAACCTTACAAAACACAAAGCTTTCTTATACATTTGCCATACTGCCTCTTGGTATTGTCCTAACTTTCCAGGGTGTGTTTTTTCTGAGTATCTATGAGGTACCAGTCATTGACCTAGGCAGCTTCACATACTATCTCCTTTAGTCTTCAGAATAACATGACAATAAGTATTCCCTTTAAAGATGAGAATATTGATTTGAGAAGCTGATTTATTCAAGCTGACACATAGCGTGGCAGAGGACTAGAAATTACACTGAAGTTTCTCATGCCAAGATCCAAAAACCTTTCAACTGTAACAAAACTATTCTCTGCAAAAATTCCAGGAGCCAACCCCGTGGCGTAGCGTTTAAGTTCACGTGTTGTGCTTCGGCGGCCCCGGGTTCACTGGTTCGGATCCTGGGCACGGATCTACTCACCACTCATCAAGCCATGCTGAGGCAGTGTCCCACATAGAGCAACCAGAAGGATGTACAACTATGAGATACAACTATCTACTGGGGTTTTGGGGAGGGAAAAAAAGAAAGGAAAAAAGGAGGAAGATTGGTAATGGATGTAAGCTCAGGGCCAATCTTCCGCAAAAAAATTAAAAAAATACATAAAAAATGTCAAATGAGAAGGCTTCCCATATATTGGAAGCCTATGTAATTTTTTCACTTTGAATATTAACCAAAGGAGACAAGAAACTTGTGAGAAAAAAATTAAAAACTGATATAAAGAGATTTTCCTACAGAAATACAAATTGAGAATGGGAGCAAAGCAATATGCAAGGGCACAAAGAGCTGGCGTTCACTGCACGGCGCCTCACTCAGAGGAACCACCTGCCGGTCTACGCACAACCACCCTCCCCGCTAAGCAGCCGCTCGGATTCAACTGCACTCCTGTATCTCCTCAGCTCTTTGCTCATTTCTTTATTTCGTAACTTATCTCATTATACAGCTTTTTTTTTAATTTAGATTTTATTTGTTTATTTTTTCCCCCCACAGCCCCAGTAGACAGCTGTATGTCATAGCTGTACATCCTTCTAGTTGCTGTACGTGGGACACGGCCTCAGCATGGCCGGAGAAGTGGTGTGTCAGTGCATGCCTGGGATCCGAACCCGGGCCGCCAGCAGCGGAGCCTGCGCACTTAACCGCTAAGCCACGGGGCCGGCCCAATATACAGCTTTTTTTTAAAACTGACTTCTTTCTACACTGCTAACTTGTGTGTTATTTGAGGGTAGAGACTATTTTATCGATCTAAATTGCTGGCGCCTACCAGGCGTTTAGCACTTTCCAGGTTTCACCCCCACTGTTTCTCATTGGTCCTGAAATTCTCACCAGGGGATGGGGCAGAGTCAAGTTCTCCTCAAAATACACATACAGCCCTCTAAAATACCCAAGCAATACTTGCTTATTTGAGGTTTTCATTGCTACTTCCTACAGAGAAACAGAGGAAACCAAATAAACCTGAGATAACTGCACAGGTTCAAAAATTGCAGAAAGCACAAGTTCTCATGGACAAGTAAACCAAGTTTGCTCTGTATTGCTGGCTGTTCCAGAATTCCCTCTTTCACAAGGTCTCTGACCTTAATTCATTCTTAGTCTTACTTCTGAGGTGGAGTTCATGTTTCTTCCTCCTTTATCTACTTCTGTAAAGAATGCAATTAGACTCACTATACCTGTAGACTCTATTAGATCAAAACGTGTCAACTGGTAAGGCCACTCAAGAACCCACACCTTCACAAGTGAGATGCAGCTACGCCTCCACAGAAACACAAGCCACTATCCTCTGTAGACTGCTCTGCCCTTTCGTTAAAAAGCAAAAATCAAGTCATTCTCCCCTTCATTGCCATCTCAAAGGGGTTACAATCTATAGAGCGGACAATATATACACTAAAATATGCTAATGTTATGTTGATACTAGATACGTTAATGTTACATCTAAGTGATCCTGACATTCAGATGGGGTGAGATCATGACCCATGAAGAAAAGCTGGGGCTTGAGTTGGAAGAAAGTATACAGAGAAGAGCAGTCCAAAGGCACCTTGTTGAGAATGTATTGGTAATTTGGGGGGAACTGGGGAGGAAGCAGCAGTTTGGCTAGAGTGAAACCAATGAATGGAAATGTTGGCCAGGGCAGAATTTAGACAGCCTTGAATGCCATGCTTAGGAGTCTTCATTTTTATTCTGTTACCAAGTGAGAACCTCTTTTCCCTAAACATGCCACACTACTTACTCCACTTACTCCGGTTCCAAGTCAAGATTCAAAGCAGTTCATAACAATCGCTACAGCCTTCTTGAAGAACACAAGCAAAGTTACTTTGCATCACAAAGCTAATAAGCACAAACACTCCAATTTCAGTATTCCACTGTTAATTGTTTGTCCATGTTTGTCCTAGTATGAATACCTTGAGAGTAGGGATCTCATTTCAACCAACACAAGCACACCACCTAGCAAAGCATCTCTGGAAAATGGACCCTGAAGCTAGATTGCCTTAGACTGAATCCCAGCTTACCCACTACAAATGTGAACTATTTGTGCCTCAGTTCTCTCATCTGTAAAATGGGAGGGATGTGCCTACCTTGTAGAAGCGAAATGACTCACATAATGGAACAATTTTTGGCACAGAGCATCACTAAATGCTAAGTTTGTTACAAACCATATCCTTTCCTTTTTCCTCCACATCCAATCACAAAGCCCTACCAGCTACAGCTAAAACAGATCTGGGATTGTTTTCATTCTCTTCACGTCCACTCTTTCCACTACTCTGACCATCATCTCTCACCTGGATGATTACAATAGCTCCCAAACAGGTCCTTTTCCAGAGCTCCATGCAAATGTCACTTGATCAAGGAGGCTTCTCCAACGCCCAGCCCCACCGACTAGGCTAACAACCTCACAGAGCACAGCACATTTTCATTTTCTTGTTACTGTTTGTGTCCCACTAGAAAGCGAGCTCCATCAAGGCAGGGACCTTGTCCATGTTTTTTTCACTGTGTCCTGTAGTGTCCAGCACAAGACCTGGAACGTGGTTTCCACTCCAATATTGATTGAATGAATGAATGAATGACGAGTAAGTTCTAGGGATTCCTTACTGAGAAGTTACTACTCACTTTGGATTGGAGGTTATTAATATCAACCTCTGTTTAAAAAACCACAATAAACTGAGAAAATATTACAGGAAAAATTAACTTCTAATTCCATTTAAGAGTCAACTCTCAGTTTATTTAGCTCCATAAAATTAGACAAATTTAGAAAAGAGAGAAAGTAAATTACATATATAGATTCATATTGTTCTTTGCTTTCCACCATAATGACACAGAGGTGTCCCCATAGGTTATGGGTATATTTAGTGCTACTATAAAACCCATCTAAGAAGTTAATTTAATGGAAAAGGAGTCTTCCCACAATTCATACATTCATTTAAAAGCTCTTGGAAGAAAGTTACACACCTAAATTCTTGCACACCTGGGAAACGCGTGTGTAGGCAAAGGGAACTTAAACTTCCTCAAAACATTCTGGCAGTGTTTGAATACTTTATTGCATAAGTGATTTAAAGTACAAAAAACAAGCATTAAAAAAATCTGACACAAATGCAACCTAAAATAACTGGTTTGCTCCCAGTCCAGGATTTATATTTATAGAAAGCGTAAAAACAAGGTTCTAATTACATTTCCCTAAGATTTTCTAAGTCTATTCCCTTGCCAGACTTAAATTGTGTTAGACTGGAATCGTATTTGATTGGGAAATGTTAATTTCCTCTATCAAAGGCTTGTGTCATCCTGCTTAAACAAGCACACGCAGAAGCACACCCACGTCTGCCCAGCTCAGAACTGCAACTTCTAAACTGAAGGAAGTAATCTAAGGTCTTTTAAGGTCTTCACATGGATGATAAATATGCAGAGAAAAGAAAATTAAGGATACAAACAACAATTTATAGTCTTAGGAACTGGGTATAAAGAACCACCACGAATCAAGCTCTTTTGTCAAACTGGGAAATAAAAGGAAAAGTCACAATTGTTATTTTTGTGTGAGACTTCAAATAACTAAATAAGGTAAGAGGGCCTTCTACTTTTGTTTTACAGATTTAATCCACAAATCCAATCTCTACAGAGAAAGAAAGTAACCAGAAAAAAGACTCGCCACACATTCAAGCTTAGCCAAAGCTGGCTAGAATTGTATCCACGGTAAGCCTTCTACAGTAACGAAAGTATTCATTTCCTCGCCCAGCTTTCACTTATACTGAGGAAGAACGCAAACCAGAGTTGCACTTCTTGTCCAAATAATAACTTTAATCTGTTTCAAGACAAGATCTCCGATTTTTAAAAGCGCACTTTTGAGTTCCAACACTGCCATCTTCTTAGACCAAACGACAAAACCCGTCAAACGCCTGCCCTACTTAAATGTTCACCTGCATCTGCTTCGCTAAGCACCCGAACAGACAGTAACCCAAGAGTGGGAGAGGGGGCGGCTGATCCCACTCGTAGCCTCAGAACAACGTTACTACAGCTTGCTAGTGACCTAGGGGACCCGCAGGAAGCGTGGGGCCAAACCCTAAAGTCAGAGCGTGAAACTTCGTCGCGCTGGAGGATGGGGTGATGGCACGTGTTCCTGGGGCCCGGTCTGCCGAGCAGGGCGGAATGAGCCTCAAGTCCCCGGGAGGCCTGAAGGTTCCAAGCCGGGAGATGCGCCTGCGCCCCCGCGGGGACTCGGGGAGAGCGGGGGCGGCAGGTGCGGCGGCCGGGCCTCACCTGCACGCCGGTGTAGTTCTCGAAGAAGAAGAGCACCATGCTCTGGTAGATGCAGTAGAGCCGGTCGTCCACCGCGTGGTAGAAGCGGGAGGGCAGGAAGGCGGAGAGCAGCCGCCAGGCCCCCCAGGCCAGCACGTAGGTGGGGGCCGAGCCCAGCAGCACCGCGGCGGGCAGCACGCAGCGCATGGAGTACATGTGGAGCACCAGGGACAGCAGCATCTTCCCGGCTCGGCGCGCCGACCGCTCCGCCGGCTCCTCCCCGCCGGCCGTCGCCCGGCCGCCCGCTGCCCTCCCTTCTGCCCCGGG